GCCCACCCCCCTCCATCTCCCAACCCCCGGGGGGGGGGCCCCCCGTCACCTCCGGAACCACCAGGGATGTGGCCACCTTCATCTCTGGCACCACCGGAGGTGTGCCACCCAACCTAGAGAGTTGGTAGGTTTTTGGACATCCGGAGGAGGTTTGGCGTGAGGGATAGAAACTTGGAAGAATGGAAATGGGTGTGGTAAACACCTATTTCCAAAAGAATGAGGAACACAGGGTGACGTACAAGAATGGAGGCAGGTCCACACAGATAGATTATATTCTATGTAGAAGAGGTAATCTGAGGGAGATTAGAGACTGTAAGGTAGTGGCAGGCGAGAGTGTAGCCAAACAACATCGGATGGTAGTGTGCAAAATGACGATGGAGGTGAAAAAAAAAGGAAGAGAGTGAAGACAGAGCAGAAAAACAAGTGGTGGAAATTAAGGAAAGAGAAATGTTGTGAAGACTTCAGGAAGGAAGAAAGGAATTCCCAGATTATTGGGAGACTACAGCTGCAGTGATTAGGGACACAGGTAAGAAGGTGCTAGGTATGTCCTCTGGGCAGAGAAAGGAGTGGTGAAATGATGAGGTCCAAGAGTGTGCTGAGAAAGAGATGGGACAGTAAGAGAACAGACTGGAGTACAAAGAGAGGACAAGGGAGGTGAAGAGGGAAGTGACCAAGGCCAAACAAAGGGCATATGAGGAGCTGTATGAGAGTTTGGACACAAAGGAAGAAGAAAAGGAGTTGTATAGATTGGCGAGACAGAGAAATCGAGCTGGGAAGGATGTGCAGCAGGTGAGGTTGATTAAGGACAGAGATGGGAATGTAATCACAGGTGAGGAAAGTGTGCTGAGAAGATGGAAGGAATACTTTGAGGAGTTGTTGAATGAGGAAAATGAAAGGGAAAGTAGAAATGAGGAATCAGAGACTATTAGGAAGAAGGTAGATCAGGTTAGAAAGGATGAAATTAGAAAAGCCCTGAAGAGGATGAAGAGTGGAAAGTCAGTTGGTCCTGATGA